ATGTGCCTAGCTATTGAGAAATCTCTGTCGCCTCATCTCTTTGCACCTTGATACTCCCATCAATAAAAGGTTATCACCAAAAAGTACTTATCAGGGTGTGTGAGGTGGTATGGCACCCCACATGGTGGGGGGGGGTCCTGCCAGCTACTAAGGAAGTTTATTTATTTATTTATTTTTGCTTTTTGGGTCACACCCGGTGATGCTCAGGGGTTACTCCTGGCTCTGCACTCAGGAATTACTCCTGGCGGTGCTCAGGGGACCATATGGGATGCTGGGATTCGAACCTGAGTTGGCTGCATACAAGGCAAACGCCCTACCCGCTGTGCTATTGCTCCAGCCCCTACTAAGGGAGTTTAAAGGTGGAAGAAAACAATGTAATATTTGATTTCTCACTCCTTCCTGAAGATACAGTATACAACAAGCTGAGCTGCATCTGCCATTCCTATTAGTAGGAAAGGGAAAAGGTCTCTTGCTTCTAAGGGCATCCCTTACACTCGCATATAATGTTGCTACTCAACCCTGATTGATCAAGCTTGGTCACAGGGCCCAACGACCAGCAAAGGAAATACAAACTCTGCACTCAAACTCGAATTATGACTAGTCCAAGGAAGCAGAGGAGAATGGGCCAGGGAGACAGGACAGTGGGTGAAGGTGTTTGTGTAGTGGGAATCTTGAGTGGCGTTTCAGGACACCTACGTGCTCAGGAAAAGCAGTTTTATCCAGCGTACCTGCGTGGCCTTGGCAGGATTCACATCAGAAATACCAAGCCCGGAGGATAGTTTATTCCTCTCTTAGACACTGACAATCGGGTTGACAGGGAAAGGTGAAAGCAACATTACATTAATGTCACTTTTTTTGTTTTGTTTTGTTTTGTTCTTGCTTTTTTGGGTCACACCCAGTGATGCTCAGGGGTTACTCCTGGCTCTGCACACAGGAATCACTCCTGTCAAAGTTTGGGGGACCATATGGAATGCCAGGGATCAAACCCAGGTCGACTGTGTGCAAGGCAAATTTCCTACCCACTGCACTATTACTCCAGCCCCAAATGTCACTCTTAACCCTATGATTTCAAAGCAAGAAAGAAGACCCGTCCACAGGCAGGCGAAGGGTAGGGGATGCGGTGGGGGTGGGGATACTAGGGATTTTAGTGGTGGAAAATATGCACCGGTGAAGGGACGGGTGTTTGATGATTGTATGACCGAAGCTCAAACATAAAAGCTTTGTAACCGTGTCTCACGGTGAATCAACAAAAGGGGGAAAATAATAATAAAATAATAAAATAAAATTAACATTCTGAATTAAAAAAAAAGTAATGTGGAGTCCATGCCCAATTCAATCAGCTTAAATCAATGGCTGAATAAGTAGCAGTAGCCAGGGCGTATTCAATATGCCAAAAACAGTAACAACAAGTCTCACAATTTGTTGTGAAACGTTACTGGTGCCCACTGGAGCAAATCGATGAACAATGGGAGGACAGTGACAGGTGACAGTGACTCCTACATTATGGGCTGGAGTGATAGCACAGCAGGTAGGGTGTTTGCCTTGCATGCGGCTGACCCAGGTTCGATTCCTCTGTCCCTCTCAGAGAGCCTGGCAAGCTACGGAGAGTATGCCAAAAATAATAACAAGTCTCACTATAGATACGTTACTGGTGCCCACTCAATCAAATTGATGAACAACGGGAGGACAGGGCTACAGTGCTACTCCTACATTATAAACAAACAACAAAAGCAACAACAACAACAAAGCCCCATCTTCTGCAGGTGGCTTTTGTGGTCGTGTTCTGCTCGCTCCAATGCTCAGCTGTGGTTTCTCACTCAGGACTGGAAGCCGAGCACCGCTCGGGGAGAACAGGAACTGGACGAGACTGGGACCAACCTGGCTGGCTTGGCATGAGTGTCTGCAGGTCAGCCCGAGTCCCTGCAAAGCCCTGACGCTCTCGCCCTGTTACAACTAACCCTGGTCTGCCCCCTGGCACCCCATACGGTCCCCCAAGAGTTGCCAGGAGGGATCCCTGAGCACAGAGCCAGAAATAAACGCTGAGTCCCCACTGGATGCAAACAAAAGCAACAGACAGAGGCAGCTGCGGGTGCTGTCTGGGGGCCATGTGATGCTAGGAAGCAAAAGGGCTTCCTGCATTCTTCCAGCCCTTTGAGCCATCTCCCCGGCCTCCAAGTTTTGCCTCGTCCAATGGAACCCCTGGGCTGGAGCGATAGCACAGCGGGTAGGGCGTTCGCCTTACAAGCGGCCAACATGGCCGACCCGAGTTCGATTCCTCCGCCCCTCTTGGAGAGCCCGGCAAGCTACCGAGATTATTCGATATGCCAGACACAGTAACAACAAAGTCTCCAATGGAGACGTTACTGGGCCCGCTTGAGCAAATGGACTATCAACGGGAGGGCCTTTATTTATTTTATTTATTTTTTAATGGAACCCCTGAGAGCATGTTCAGCCCTTGCAAACCTTACAACTTGTTTGTTTGCCTGGGGGGGGGGGGTTCACATCTGGTGGTGCTTAGGAGTCAATGCTCATACTGTGTGAGAGAGACGTGCAGTGCTGGGGGTCGAACCTGGGGTCTCCTGCACGCCAAGCATTAGCACTGGCTCATTGAGCAATCTCCCCAAACATAGACCTTAGGACTTTTGCAGCTTAGAACTTTAGTAGCTTTCAGGGTCAGAGAGATATTACAGGGTGTTTGCCTTGCACATAGCTGACCCGAGTTTGATCCCTGACCCGGGTTCGATTCATGTCATCCCATATGGTCCCCTGAGCACCGCCAGGAGTAATTCCTAAGTGCAGAGCCAGGAGTAACTCCTGTGTGTTTCCAGCTGTGACCCAAAAAGAAAAAAAAAAGTGGCCGCACAGGGACTGGAGCAATAGCACAGCGGGTAGGGCGTTTGCCTTGTACGCAGCTGACCCAGGTTTGATCCTCAGCATCCCATATGGTCCCCTGAGCACCACCAGGAGTCATTCCTGAGTGCAGAGCCAGGAGGAGTCCCTGTGCATCGCTGGGTGTGACCCGGAAAAATAAAAGTGGCTGTAGGGGTCCAGGAGGACAGAGGAGAGTGGACTTCACCCCAGAACTAGCCACGACTCACCCCCAGAGAGGCCACGCCCCTGGAAGGCTCCTCTGCCCCTCCCCCACCAGAGGACACTTGGCGAGACCGTGGGAAATCCATTCCATGCATTCAGCCCTGAGCCCAGTGTCTCCTTGGAAGAAGCTGTAAGGCAGAGGGAAGGGGGGGAAGGAGGAAGGGAGCTGGCGCAGCTGGGCCACGATACCCATTCGGACATTGACTCAGGCCCCAGGAATGCCAGGAAGGGGGTGGGAAGCTGGCAGAACCAGGCGGGGATCCTGTGGGCAGGGGGGGCAGGAGCTATAGAGGAAACACTTTCTATGGGGGCGGGGGCGCCTACCCCCTCGCACAGGTGGGAGCAGATGTCTCTCACCTGTAGGCAGAGCGTGTGAGGCCCAGAACATTTTTCAAGTTCCCAGCATCCCTGAAGGTGCCCCTATGTCACCCCCTCCACCAGCGAGAGAGAACCCCGCTCCCGAGGCTCAAATGGGACCTGCTGGCACCCCCAGATTAGGCTCCTGCGAACACCCACAAAGCCCGGGTCCCCAGGAACTCCACCCCTCCCCGCCATCAAAGTTTCTAGAAGGAAGAAGCAAAGGTCAGTCACCTGCATATTCCCTTCTTGGTTGCCAAGTGGAAGGAGGCGGGCAGAGGAGGGAGACAGACTTGGACCCTACCTGACCCCGTCCTAGCGTCCTGCCCCTCCCCCCAGCCACTTCCCCCACCCCAACAGGGGACTTTCTGTTTGTTCTCAGTGACCCGGAAGGGAACAAGGACCAGGCAGCAAGATTGCAAGGCTAGAGCAATAGCGCAGTGGGTAGGACGTTTGTTTGCCTTGCACACGGCTGACTCAGGTTCAAATCCCAGCATCCCATATGGGCCCCTGAGCACCGCCAGGGATAATTCCTGAGTTCAGAGCCAGGAATAACCCCTGAGCATTGTCAGGTGTGACCCAAAAAGCACTGCACTGTACCGCTATCCTCCCGTTGTTCATCGATTTGCTCGAGCAGGCCCAGTAACGTCTCCACTGGAGACTTTGTTGTTACTGTGTTTGGCATATCGAATACATCACTGGTAGCTTGCCAGGCTTTGCCATTTGGGCGAGATACTCTTGGTAGCTTGCCGGGCTCTCCGAGAGGGGCGGAGGAATTGAACTCGGGTCAGCCATGTGGGCCTCGTGCAAGGCAAACGCCCTACCCGCTGTGCTATCGCTCCAGTCCAAAAAGCAAAAAAAAAAAAAAAAAAAAAAAAAGATTGCAAGGGACAGGGACCCAGGAAGAGATGGCTCCTGGACTTTGCACTCAGCACACCTGAGTTTGTGTATTTGATTCAAACACCGTGATTTCCAGAGCTGTTCAGAATACAGTCGTTTCCGGCATACAGAGTATGTCCCACCACTGCCAGTGTGACCTTCCCTCCACCAACGTCCCTCGTTTCCCTCCCACTCTCTGAATAGGCACATAACAAACCGACTTCCTCTGGCTTGCCCCCACAAAAGGCAAAGGAATGACCAACAGAATGATCCAAAAATAAATCAAGTCAAGTCCGTTCCTGATGATTGTGGACACCTGACTTTAATCATCCTCAGCACTGCCTGGCTTCCTGAGCACTGCCAGGACTAACCCCGGAGCACCGAGCCAGGAGCAGCTCCTGAGCACTGTTTGGCGTGACACCCACGGCACCCCCCAGAACAAGGAAGCTCCCAGACACGCCCCTTCCCTCCCATATCCCCTTTCATCTGCAGCTGAGCTGGAGCAGCTGAGCCGGGTGTGTGTGTGTCTGTGTGGGGGGATATCCCCACCCCCTGCCGCCTGACACCCAGTCAGAGGGAAAGTGATCTGGGCAGAGTGGCCGGCCAGGGGCCAGGCTCAGAATAGCGCTGCCCAGCCAGCGTCTTGCTCTCCGCAGATCGGGGCTGGCCGCATGGAGCCTGAGCTGGGGCACGCTTTGCCCAGGGTACAGGGGGTCTTAGGGGGCCGGGAGTGGGGGCAGCAGAAGCCGGAATCCCAACGGGAGTCAGTGACAGCATGTGCCGTGCACACGGCCTGCTCTATGTTATTTGCTCCATGTTTCTGGGCCCGGGGCGCCCTTATGTGTCTATTCCGAGCTGTGCTTCTGCATCTGGGAATGGCTGGAGGCATGAGGGTGGGTGGGTGCCGGGGATGGGGCGGGGGGGGGGTAGCTGCTTCTGTCTGCGTGTGTGTCTGGGGGGGACACGTGCGTGCACCCACTATGAGAAGGGGGAACCATCCCCCCTTGAGACTTTCTTTGCTTCACAGACGCCCTCCTGGAGCAGCCTTGGGGGAACTGACCATGCAGGTAGGTGGGGCGATCCTTCCCCATGGGCTGCCTTCCCCTCTCCGCACCCCTGGGCCTCTCCCAACCCTTCTCCTCCGGCTTTGTCTTCTGGGACTGGGACCCTCTGCCTCTCTCACTTACTGGCCAGTTGCTTCTCCTGTCTGGCCTCGTTCGTGGATGGGATGGGGCGACAGAGCCTCTGGGAGACCCGGAGGAATGCTCCGGCGGGAGCGTGGGAGTATTCAGGAGCATGGATGCTCTCCTCGCTCTCCTTGTGTTTCTCCCTAGCAAGCCAGCAGACTCCACTCTCCTTCTCCGACTCGGGCTTCCTGGAGTCGGGAGACAGCCATTCCTGGCCAGCCCTGGTCGGCGCCAGCAGCTCAGGCAGAATCCATGGGAGACGGGGCGCCAGGGCCTCCCGCTGGAAGAGACAAGAGGCAGTGGAGGAAGAGGAGCTGCTGGACCTGGGGGACAGTGAGAGCGGTTCTGGGTAGACGGGCGGGGGCTGGGAGGAGGCCCAGAGGCCCTTTGCCTCCACAACAGCTGGCCCCAGCCCGCAGCTCAGAGCCTCAGTTTACCCTCTTAGGGACAGGTGCATGAAAGAACCAGTGGCTGAGCCTGGCGGACTCAGAAAAACGGGACAGAGCTGGGTAGAGAGTTCAGACCCGCCAACGCTGGTTCAAATCCTTGGCACCTCATATACTCCCCTGAACACTGCCAGGAATAGCCCCCAAGCACTACAGGGGGTGGTCCAAACCCTGTCCCCTGCCCCCACCTTCCCCCCACCTCCAAAGAAGACAAGAAAAACAGGACAGTGGGGATGGAGCGAGAGTACACTGGATAGGGTATTTGCCTTGCATGTGGCCGATCCGGGTTCAATCCCGGCATCCTATAGGGTTCCATAAGCACCACCAGGAGTGATTCCCAAGTGATTCCCAAGTGCAGAGCCAGGAGTAACCCCTGAGGATCCCCAGGTGTGACCCAAACAAACAACAACAGCAACAAAACCACAGGACAGAGTTTCTCGCTTGCTGACTCTCTGAGACTCGGGAAACTGACCTGCAAATTGGGGTGCCAGGCTCTCCAAGGCCACCGGGAGGCTGAGACAGCAGGTGGACAGTTTGTCCCCTCCCTACACACAGGTGTCCCAGCGGAGTCAGCTGCTGAATCCACGGCGCTGGAGGCCACGTCCCCCGAGGTCGCACCCTTGGTCCTAGCTGAACAGCCCGCGGCCAGGGTGGGAACCCCACCCACAGACTGGGCCTTCCTGTCTGCCACCTGGGCCACCTCTCTGGCTAGTTCCAGCATCGACAGTCTGGGCCTGGAGTTCCCAGGCATAGCCGCGTGGGGCGAGGACTTGAACGGTCTGGCGGAGCAGAGGTGGGCGCGGGGGGGGCCCGGCCCACAGGCCCTCCTGCCCAAGCCGAGCTGGGAGGACGAGATGCAGAAGCCTGAGGCACAGGTGTACATGCACTTCATGCAGGAGCACAGCTGCTACGACGCCATGGCCACCAGCTCCAAGCTAGTCATCTTCGACACCGGGCTGGAGGTGAGGACGGGATGCCCGCGGGGCTGGGTCCCACCTTAGCCCATACACAGGTGCTGGGAGGTTCCAGCTGCCCTTTCTCAGAGGAACACAGCCGGGGTACCATGCCAGGGGTAGAGATCTCCAACTGGGAGCACCTTTTTTTCTTTTTGGGTCACACCCGGCGATGCACAAGGGGTTACTCCTGACTCATGCACTCATGAATTACTCCTGGCGGTGCTTGGGGGACCATATGGGATGCTGGGAATCGAACCCGGGTCGGCTGCATGCTAAGGCAAATTCCCTACCCGCTCTCGCTCTAGCCCCAGTGGGGAGCACTTTGAACCCCAAATGTGTAAACAGCATCGCAGAGGTCTGGAGTACAAACAAGAGGTGTTTTTTTGTTTGTTTGTTTTTTCTTTTTGGGTCACACCCAGCGATGCACAAGGGTTACTTCTGGCTCATGCGCACAGGAATTACTCCTGGTGGTGCTCGGGGGACCATATGGGATGCTGGGAATCGAACCCAGGTTGGCCACGTGCAAGACAAATGCCCTACCCACTGTGCTATGGTTCCAGCCCCAAACAGCAAGAATTTTGTTTTCCCCCTGTCCTGGGGATCAGATCTTGTGCGTAGGATAAGTGCGTGCAGGTCAGCTGGGGCCTTAGCACAGAGCCACGGTCCTGGCCAGGAGATACGACAGGATGGGCTCTGCTTCCATCCTGTGCGAGGCTGCAGGGCGTGTGTGTCCACTGCGGCATCCCAGGAGGCCCCGAGCGTGTTTCCCTTCTCACCTGCATGGTAGCACTGGGCACCAGCTTTTCCAGCGGCTGTGTCTGACAGTCAGGTGTGTTGTGAAATTTTACTGAGGGCCACAAAGAAGTTCCATGAGACACAGGAGGCCTGGGTTTGACCCAGTCCCAACACATTCACCCCCTGAGTACCCACCAGATGTTGCTAAAAGGAAAAAGAAAAAGAAAGAAAAGCAAATCCATCCCGCCTAGAGTAATCATGTGCTCTGTCAATGTCGGGACTTAGATGAGCAAATGCAGGTCTGTCTGTTGGCTCCCGGCTGCCAGGTGGAAACACAAAGTTCTTGGGGTTGGAGTGTTGGTAGTGGATAGGCGCTTGCCTTGCATGTGGCCCACCCAAGTTCAATCCCCGGCATTTCATATGGTTCCCCCGAGCACTGCCAGGAGTGATTCCTGAGTGCAGAGCCAGAAGTAAAACTGAGCACCTTCAGGTGTTAAAAAAAAAAAAAAAAGAAAAAGAAAAGAAAAGAAAAAAAGAGAAGAACGAAGTTTCTTGTCCTCATTCTGGGGTACCTGGGAAGGGGTCCCACCACACCCCAGTGCCTCTGGCCCCTACCAGCCTGTCTGCATAGTCAAGATGCCAGCACTGCTGCGTGCAGTGACTTGGAGAAGGCAAGACTGAACTGTGGGGAGGCGGGAGGAGGAGCAGATACCCCAGAGGGGCCCTGAGAGATGCGCCCCTCAATTTCCGCCCCCCCCCCAGATCAAGAAGGCCTTCTTTGCCATGGTGGCCAATGGGGTCCGGGCGGCTCCGCTGTGGGACAGCAAGAAGCAGAGTTTTGTGGGTAAGAGCTGGGAGGGGCCGGGAGACACAGCTCTGGGCCCCTGGCTTGAGTAGACCCTTCAGGCTGGCAAGGGGGTTTACCCCATCCTAGTCTGGTATTATGGGGAGGTTATGGGGCTCCATCTCCCCGGTTCTTCCTGGTCTGTGTCAGGGTGCCGGGGAGAGATAAGGGCAAGAGAAGGGGGTGGGAGGTAAAGAGAGAAATGAAGAGGACCAGAGTGGAGGGAAGCCCCAGTTCTCGGGCACAGAGGGGAAGCTGCCTGCTCACCACTCTTCCACCCACACCGTGTCTTCTCCTGGGATGCGGCGGGTGGTCCCGAGTCCCTGAGGGGTGCAGCTGACGCCCCACCCCCGCCCCGCAGGGATGCTGACCATCACAGACTTCATCCTGGTGCTGCATCGATACTACAAGTCACCCCTGGTGAGGAGGGAGCTGAGAGGCCCCACCTGGGCTGAGCTGGAGGGACACTGGGGTGGGGTCTGCTGGGGACCCCAAGAGAGTCCTCATCTGACTTTGGGGTTCTGCCTGTCTGTAGGTCCAGATCTATGAGATTGAAGAACATAAGATTGAGACTTGGAGGGGTGAGTAGGGCTGAGACTTGGAGGGGTGAGTAGGGCCAAGACTTGGAGAGATGAGTAGGGCTAAGACTTGGAGGGGTGAGTGGGGCTGAGACTTGGAGAGATGAGTAGGGATGAGACTTGGAGGGGCGAGTAGGGTCAAGACTTGGAGAGATGAGTAGGGCTAAGACTTGGAGGGGTGAGTGGGGCTGAGACTTGGAAGGTTGAGTAGGGCTGAGACTTGGAAGGATGAGTAGGGGGCTGAGACTTGGAAGGGTGAGTAGGGCTGAGACTTGGAGGGGTGAGTGGGGCTGAGACTTGGAGGGGTGAGTGGGGCCAAGACTTGGAGGGATGAGTAGGACCAAGACTTGGAGGGATGAGTAGGGATGAGACTTGGAGGGGTGAGTAGGGCCGAGGCTTGGAGGGGTGACTAGGGGCCAAGACTTGAAGGGGTGAGTAGGGCCGAGACTTGCAGGGGTGAGTAGGGCCAAGACTTAGAGGGATGAATAGGGCCGAGACTTGGAGGGGTGAGTAGGGCTGGGACTTGGAAAGGTGAGTAAGGCTGAGACTTGGAGGGGTGAGTAGGGCTGGGGCTTGAGGGGTGAGTAGAGCCGAGGAAAATAGGCTGGGGGTGGGTGGGGGTGGCGGATGGCAGTGGGAATTTCCTGGAGATGCAGGAGGGTGACAGGGAGCCGACGGGAGGGCGGTGAGATTTGCTGGCTGCCGGGCGAGGTGCCAGTGCCCCTGGACTGACTTGTCCCTTCCTCCAGAGATCTACCTGCAAGGTTGCTTCAAGCCTCTGGTCTCCATCTCTCCCAACGACAGGCAAGTGTCCCCCGCACCCAGCGCAGCCGTCTCCCCTCCAGATTTCGGCTCGTTGCTGTGTTTTGTGGTGCCAGGGGGAGCGTTCAAGTGTCCTGCATTGCTAGGTTGGTGCTCAACCACTGGCCGACCTCCCAGCTTCTCTAGATCTGTCTTTCCTTCAGTGCTTGGCCTCACACAGGGGCGTCCAGGGCTGCTTCCTGGCTCAGCGCTCGGGATGTTCTTCCTGGCAGTGCTCCAGGACCGTGCAGGGTCAGGGATGGAACTTGGGGCTCCTGCATGTGCTCCAGCCCTTTGCATCCCTTCTCTGGGCCATTCTGACTCATCCTGGGCAGCCAGCAGTCAGCTTTCGTGCCCTGGCCCCTCCCCTAGGGGCACTGGGCTGCCCCACCCCCTCACCGTTCCTTCCTCCGCAGTCTATTTGATGCTGTCTACACCCTCATCAAGAACCGGATTCACCGCCTGCCCGTCCTGGACCCGGTCTCAGGGACTGTGCTTTACATCCTCACACACAAGCGACTGCTGAAATTCCTGCACATCTTTGTGAGTGTGGGCGCGGCTCTGGGGACCTTGGCACAGGTGGCTGGGGGGGGGGGGGCGTGGCAGGTCCCTGCGGGCGGGCTGCTCTGTGCTGATGGCACCTGTACCCTCGCAGGGTGCCCTACTGCCCCGGCCACCCTTCCTGTCCCGCACCATCCAGGATCTGGGCATTGGCACGTTCCGAGACTTGGCGGTGGTGCTGGAAACCGCGCCCGTCCTCACGGCGCTGGACATCTTCGTGGACCGGCGCGTGTCAGCCCTGCCTGTGGTCAATGAAGCTGGTACCAGGAGCCGGGACAGATGGGGGCCCTGGGTGGAGGAGGCGTGGGTGGCAGGGATCAGGGTCCTCAGCACAGGGCTCCAGAGGGGGGAGGGGAGTCGGGGGTAGAAGCTTCTGCCGTAAGGGCCGGGGAGGCACCTCCAGTAAATAAGAGCCAGAAATAAGTGCTGAGCACTGCTGGGCACGACCAACCCCCTTCCTCATAAAAAAAAAAATGCCTGCCTGCTTTGAGACTTGGACATATACAGGGGGCAACCTCCCTGTGCCTCAATTTCCCCATGGTGAGGCAGGACTCCTCACACCATGCACACTTCTCCCCCCTAGGGGGCTTTAAGGACCCCAAGAGGTAAGCTATGCATGGCAAGAGCAGACAGCAGAGTTGAGTTCCAGTTCATTCTATAAGGGGGTGTTGTGTCCCGTCAGATGTTTATTTTCTACTCAAAGTGAAGGCAGGGTGCTAGCACAGGGGCTATGGTGCTTGCCTCGAACGCAGCAGACCCCGGTTTGATCCCTGGCACAGATTACAGTCCCCTGAGCACTGCCAGAAGAAGTAATTCCTGAGCACAAAGCCAGGAGTAAGTTCAAGCACTACCCAGCATGGCCCCTAAATCACTCCCCCAAAAATACACCTAGAGAATTAGAATCCAATTCTAATTGGATTCAAGTTAGGGACAGGGAGAAGGTTTGGGGCCACACCCAGCTGTGTTCGGGGCTTACTCCCAGCTCTGGGATTGGGGATCACTCCTACAGGGACTCAGGGGGACCATACGGGGTGCCAGGGATCAACCACGTGCCCGGCAAGCGCCCTAACCTCTGGGCTAAGTCTTGGCCCCCTGCATGGGATTCTTTTGTCCCTTTAAGTCTCCTCCCTACTGGACTAGGACGGCACGGATGAATCAGTTGGAGAGCCTGGCCAGTGGCCCTGTGGATGTCCCACCTTGTGGCTAGGGGTCACTCTGACCCTCCCATCCTGCTTTCCCCCGAAACCGGAAGCCAGCTCCCAGGGTGGGTTCCCGTGTGCTAGACCTCTCTAGGTGAAGCCGTGGCTTGTCCCCGCGGATTCCAGAAGCACCATCACCCGGGGCTGCCTGCTGACACCATCAGCCTGGGGATGGAGAACGTCGGGGCACTCGCCCCAGTTCATGGCCCTCCCGGTTCTCATGGGCAACCCTCCCTTGTCTGTTTATCCATCTGCCACCCCTAGGTCAGGTCGTGGGCCTCTACTCGCGCTTTGATGTCATCGTAAGTGTCATGGGAAGGAAAGAGAACAGTGGAGGCCATGGGGGGGGGGGTGTTGGTGGCCATGGGGGCTGCTGGTTTGAGGACCCGACCCCCAGGGTCGGGGGTAGGGGGATGCTGCTATCTCTGATGCTGGTTGGGGGATGCTGGTATCTCTGATCTCTGGGCCAAGGGGTCCATCACTAGAAGTTTGAAGGAGCAGGACGTGCAGGAAAAGGGGCTGGCTAAGAGGGGGTCTTCCCTCCCGGCCCCAGCACCTGGCCGCACAGCAAACCTACAACGACCTGGACATGAGTGTGGGAGAAGCCCTGAGGCAGAGGACGCTGTGCCTGGAGGGGGTCCTTTCCTGCCGGCCCCACGAAAGCCTGGGGGACGTCATCGATCGCATTGCTAGGGAGCAGGTACTCTGTGGCCCTTGGTCCAGTCTTTCCCTCCTCTCATCCCCACTTCTCAGCTGCCTCTCGCTGTTCCTCACTGCTCTGCAAGGAGCCTTTTTTTTTTTCTTTTTGAGTCACACCTGGCAATGCTCAGGGGTTCCTCCTGGCTCTGCACTCAGGAATCACTCCTGGCAGTGTTCGGGGGACCTTATGAGATGCCGGGGATCTTAAGAACCCTGGTCGGCCATGTGCAAGGCAAATGCCCTCCCCACTGTACTATCGCTCAAGCCCCACACGTTTTAAATTTTTTTTTTCTTTTTGTGTCACACCTGGCGTTGCACAGGTATTACTCCTGGCTCATGCACTCAGGAATTACCCCTGGCGGTGCTCAGGGGACCATATGGGATTCTGGGAATCGAACCCAGGTCGGCTGCATGCAAGGCAAGGCAAACGACCTGCTATGCTGTCGTTCCAGCCCCATGTTTTAATTTTTATCGAGGTTCTTGCAGGGTGACGCTCACAAGTCAACCAGTGCTCACCTATGTGCTCAGTAGAGGTCACATTTAGTGGCTATGTTGCTCACATGCCTTTTTAGTTGCAGTACTTAGGGGGTGTCCACCCCCTTTTCTTTGGCGTTCATACACCTGGTTATGGTACAGCTGATGGTCGGTTTTGATCTGAGGATGGCAGACAGCAGAGCTGCCAGGATCATACCAGGAACATGTGGGACCACAGGGATTTGAACTCATGACCAAATGGTTACAAGGCAGGTGCTACACACCCCTGCTGTCTTCCTCTGGTCCTAGGGCCACTCCTGTTCCTCCTGTTACGGCATATTACTGCCCCTGATTCTTGGTGCCATAACCCCCCCACCCATGACTTCTGTGGCCCCGCAGGTGCACCGGCTGGTACTCGTGGATGAGAATCAGCATCTCCTGGGTGTGGTGTCCCTCTCTGACATCCTGCAGGCGCTGGTGCTCAGCCCTGCAGGCATCGACGCCCTCGGAGCCTGAGAAGACGCGAGTCTGGCTGCCACGGAAGCCAAAGAGGAGAGCCGGGGCCCCCTCGTTCCCCAGGCCTGCCCACTGACCCAGCTCCAATCCAGGTAGGCTCTGCCCTGAGCCAGTGGCCCCTGCTCCAGCCCCTCGTGATATTTTGGGGCCCCCGGATCTCAGCATGGAGGTTCCCTGGGAGCTAGGGCGGGGTGAGGGGGCTGCCAAACTCACAACTGGGCAGTCCCCAGCTGCTTGGGACAGCCACCAGTGTCATCATTCACCGTGAGGGCCGCCTGCTGGTCCCAGGTGAAGTCATGGAGAGCCTCAGAAGAGGGTGGAGGCAGGGGCTGGGGTCCAGGCAAAGGCGCTTCCCTTCACCTCCTGGGAGGAAGCAAGAAAATAAACAAACACTTGTTGATGCACTTGGCACTCAGGAGACCCAGGGGTTCGGTCTCTACTACCAAGCGACTCCCCGCTCCTCACTTCCGCCAGGTGTGGCTCCAAACCCTAAATAAATAAAGCAAACAATGAAACAGAACTTTGTGAAACAGAACATCTAGACTTTGGAAGAACGTGGGCTGGGCGCGGGAGAGAGCCCAGTGGACAGAGCACACGTGGTGTTGAATGCAGAAGGCGTGGGTTCGATTCTTGGCACTGCACAATCTTCCAAGCACCACTGGGAGCACAGAGGTTGGAGTAACCTCCAAGGGAAAAATAAACCTTAAAAAAAAAAGAGTGGAGTTCATGCCCAATTCAATCAGCTAATCAGTGGCTGAATAAATAGCAGTACTCCTACATTAAAAATAAAAAGTAGTGCCAGAGATCATATAGAGGTTAGGCTCTTGCCTTGCAGATGACCGGTCCAGGTTTGGTCCTCAGTACCCCATATGGTTCCTGGGAACCCGGGCAGGGGTGATTCCTGACCACAGAGCCAGGAGGAAGCCCTGAGCATCCCTGGCTGTTGCACCAAACAGAACAAGAAACTCAGGGTGAAAGGAGAGAGCTTCACACCAAGTGCTCGTCTCAGTAGTTTGACAGGAGTGCTCGGGGTTTGCAGTGGGGGTGTCACACCCCCTCTGCAGCGGATGACCAGACCGAGGTCTCCGTGGGGACCACACATGCCCCTCCGCCTCCAGCCACCTGCCTGCTTGGCACCAAGAGGCTCCCTCCTCGCCCCCGCCCTGCCCAGGCTCCCGGACGTCCTCAGGAATGCCAGGGTGCTATGGCATGAGGGAATTAAGCAGAACAGCTGAGGCAGACTCAGAGATTCCTAAGCAGTGTGTGTGTGTGTGTGTGGGGGGGGTGACCCCAGGGCCACCTGCTTCCTGCGCTCACAGCTCTCCCCACACTTTGCTCCTGGGGACTGGCTGCCGTGGGGCCGCAGAGGACAAGTCTGGACAAGGGTTCTGGATTCCTTGGCTTCAGGACAGCTGGGACGGCATCCCCAGCTCCAGGAATCCCAGCTGCCCCTCACACACACATACACACACACACCACACCACACACACACACCACGCACACACACACACCACACCACACACACCACACACCACACACCACACACACCCACTACACACACCAAACACATTCCACACACACCACATACATGCCACACACACACACACCACACCACATACACACCACACACACCACACATACCACACACACACCATACCACACACACCATACACACCACACCACACACAAATATCACACACATACCACACACACAACACACACCACACCACACACATACCACACACAAACTACACACACCACACACACATACCACGCCACACACACCACACACACACCCACACTCATACCACACACATACCACTCCACCTACACCATACACACACCACACAAACCACACCCACACACCATACCACACCACACACACCATACACCATACACACTACACACACACACCACACACAAACACCACATACCACACACACCACACACATACCACACCACATACACCACACATTCCCACACATATACCACACACATACCACTCCACCCACCATACCACACCACATACACCACACCACACCACACACCACACACATACCACACACACACACCACACATACCACACACATATACCACACACACATACCACACACACATACCACACACACACCACACCACACACATACACACACACGATCACACACAGCCCTCTGGCATTGTCACTCAAAGCTGTTCCCCCGAGGTGGGATTGAGCCAAGATTTGCAGAGTGAGGAACCAACCTCTCACGGCCCCGCTCTTTTCAGTCCCCTTTGATGCCCTGTATTTGGATCGCCGAGGAGCTACGTTCAGACAACAGGAAGAACAACCCATGGCTTTTCATCAGTTTCACTCTCCAGATGCCACAGTCACCCCTCCCCAAGTTGTAGAAAGATCCCCACGACCCCCAGCACCTGATTCCAGAGACTGAAAGGAGCATCTGCAACTGACCAACCTGCCCAATGGCTTGGTCCTCTGTGCCAGAGCATCTGTCCACTAAAATTCCTTTGTCATCTCTTGGCTATAACAAAAGAATAAAGATTGTATGGTTGGTACAATTCTCTCTCTCTCTCTCTCTCTCTCTCTCTCTCTCTCTCTCTCTCTCGACTGGGGGGAGGTCACACCCAGCTATGCTCAGGGATTACTCCTGGCTCTTCACTCAGGGATCACTCCTGGTGGGGCTTAGCTAAGGGACCAGATGTGTTCTGGACTTTGCAAGGCAAGCGCCCTGCCCACTGCACTATCTCTCTGTCCCTGTCACAAGCGGTTTGCTTAGATTCCTACCCCTAAACATGGATCCTAACTCAGCAAGCTAATCCAGATGGTGTCAGGTAGACAGTATAATGGGTAAGGCCCTTTTCTTGCACTTGGTGACCCTGTTTTTGTTCCTGAGACTGTGACCCCCACCAGGAGTGATCCCTGAGCACAGAGCCAAGAGTAAGCCCTGAGCACCTGGGATGCGGTTAAGAAAAAAAAATATTCAGATAGACTGTGTGGGAGCAAGATGTACACATCCATTGGCCAAAGTGCAGCACCCACTGGATTCCACTGCACTTCCTCAGCCTACGGTATTTCACTGCATCATCTGCAGCATCATTACGAGCTGGGGGAAGATGGGGTGGGGGGGCAGGGGAAGAGCTTGGGTCACACCCAGCGGTGCTCAGAGGCTATTCCTGGCTCTGTGCTCACAAGTGACCCCTGGCAGTGCCCCGCTGCACCTGCTGTGGGTCCTCTTTGTCATTGCCAGCTAGTTCTGTCATACTCAGACTCTGACCAAACTGGTCTTTGTAGATTTGTTTCAGTCCAACTGGAATTTCCGTAACATTTCCTCTGTCTAGGTGAGGCTCCTTCCAGGGGCTGGGGACACTGTGCAGCGGGGGTGGGGGGACTTGCCTTGCACAGGGTTGACCCCGATTCCATCTCAGGCACCACATCAAATCCCCTGAGCACTGCCACAGGTCATTTCTGCACACGGAGACAAGAGTGAGTCCTGAGCACTGCTGGGTGCGACCCTGAATCCCCCTAACAAAAAAACAGCCAAACTGTACCTCATGGTGTTTCACTAATAAAAAATTAAAATAAAAAAATAAAAAATAAAAAACAGCCAAAAAAAAGTATGTGTTTCAGTTGTATTTAGTGTATTCACAAAGTTGTGGGGCTGGAGTGATAGCACAGTGGTTAGGACGTTTGCCTTGCACGCAGTCAACCCGGATTCGATTTCCAGCATCCCATATGGTTCCCTGAGTAATTCCGGAGTGCATGAGCCAGGAGTAACACCTGTGCATTGCTGGGTGTGACGCAAAAATTTCATTTCATTTCATTTTATTTCATCATCCTGTTATTCGTCGATTGCCTCGAGCAGGCCCCAGTAACGTCTCTTTCATCCTAGCCCTGAGATTATATTCAAGGCTCTTTAGGAGAATGAGACCCGTCATTGTTACTGGTATTTGGCATATTTGGTACGCCACGGGGAGTTTGCCAGACTCTGCCCTGTGGACAGGCTACATTCGATAGCCTGCAAGTTTGTCCAAAGTAGGAATGAGATAATAAGATGTCATAAAAAGATGTCCTGATAAGATGTCGCGCAGCCGCAAATGCGGCCGCATGGTTCCAGGAGCTGGATTTTATAGTCTCTGAGTCTTGGCCGTTGATGGGATTACACGGCCAATGAGACTCAAAAATAAAAAGCTAAAAAAAAAAAAAAAGAAAGTTGTACAACCATCACCAATACCTAATTACGGATCGCTGTCATGGTCCCTAAGAAACTCTTTGTGGAGCTGGAAACAGATCAATGGGATGAGCATGAAGCCCAGGTTGGGTCCCCAGTAGCACACGGTCCCTCAGCACTGCAGGAAGCCAGGCCCGAGCACTGGAGCCAGGAGGAGCTTCTGAGCGTCACCTGGTGTGGAAGGAAACGAACAGGCTCTCTGCCTCTCCCTCCCTCTGCCCGTCATCCTCTGGTCTGTGAGTGAGCTTGCCTGGGCATTTCCTCTGTGGACTCATCCACTCTCTTACCGTCTTTTGGTCTGGTTTTCCCTCAGCGGAGTGTTTTCAGATTCCATCAGTGAAGTCAGAAGAATCAGCACTTCATGTTCGTGGGCGTGGGGAATGGGGTGGAAGTCATACCTAGCGATGCT